ACAGTAATAAAGATGATCTAACCATTCGTTTTGTAACAAGTCACCACATTGTTTTGGTAGGTGAGCGAGTATAGTTGATTTTGTACTTTCGCGAGTAAGGTTGATTGGGGATTGCGGTGGATGATGACTAGGCTTTCCATGTGGCGAAGAAACGCGTAATCCTCACCGCGAAGCATTATAACTTCATGGGTTAGTCAAATGAATTTAGAAATTTAGGAAAATATGTTGCTCAAATTACGGTAATGTCCCTATGTTTCAATTTTGTAAACATTACCTTCTTTATTTTTACTTTATTTTTTAAAACTTTATCTTGCTCAATAATCTAATTCTTTCTTTCTAATAAAAGTAAGTATTGAGTTTTTTTTTTTTTTTTTTTTTTTTTAATTTTTTTTAAATGGGCAAAGTGAGTTGTTTGGCTAGTTTTTCACTGCACCATTAGTAAGAAAAAAAATTTGGATGAAAGAGCGGGAATAATGGATGGATAAAACATCTATATTGAAGAGATTTTTTTTATTTTTTTATTTTTTTTTATTTTTATTTTTTTTTTGTCGGTTGAATGGAAGAGAAGAAAATAAGCTCCCAAATTATCATGTTCTTTATGTGTGAAGAAAATATAAAATATAAAATTATTTTTACCATTATGTTAAGTAATATATGTAATATTGTAATGCATAAAATATAGTACTATAATTTAAAACTTGTGTAATTTAGGATAGTATTTAATTTAAACTTCTATAATTGAACACTTTTCTTCCTCCTCTCTTCTGTTTATTTTTGGATAGATGAAAATTTATAAAGAATGAAGAAACATTCCTCATATTATCTTTTCTTTTCCAAGTTTGTTGATTCCTTCTTATTTTTTCTTTACACCTCTTCTTTTCTTTCTTCCCACCAAACAAAGCATGTGTGTCTTGGACTCCCCAATTCCAACCCAATTCAAGTCCAATTTAATTTTTAACGAACTAAAAGCAATTATTTTTCCAATTATAGTTGGATTTGAATAGAAAATTTTCAATTCAAACTTAATTAAGGTTGAGATTGGATTGAGATTTTCACAACATGAGCTCAATTTGAATTTGAATTTGAATTTGAATTTTATTTTTTAAAAAAATTTCATATTTATTTTTTGTAATTATATTTTTCAATTTCAAATAAGTTATATACATTTTAAATTATGATCACTTTTTTTTTTTTTTTTCTTTTTAAATCTTAATCCATTATATATGAATATTTTGGATAATTGATTTTTTAAGAATTTGTTTGTAATTTTTTTGAAACTTCAAGTTTTTTTTTTTTTTATTACTTGGAAGTATTGTAATTCAAAGCTAACTTACGATCAACTCAATTTTCAACCTGAATTCTCTTGCTCGAGCTTAAGACAAATTTATTAACTCGAGCATTGGTTGGACTCAATTAGAGATCTTGGGTTAATGGTTGGCTTGATTGAGCTCGTGTTAAAGCTTTTATAATTTGAGTTGAATTCTTACTCTTCAATTCACTCGAGTTGCATCCCTTATTTAGAAGAAGTCTCTTTTCTTTCAAAGTGTTACAATAAAATAATAAATTACTAATAAAGTCATCCATATCCGTGTCATTGCATTTTATCATTTTATTCAATCAAACAAAATGAAGACCATGCTTTTTTTTTTTTTTTTTTTTTTTTTTTTTTTTTTTCTGCTTTGTTTTAATAAATATACCTCTACCTTCGTATGTCTATTTTGCATTTTCGTTTAAGTATTTTAAAATTTTTCAATTTTGGAGCAAAGGAAGATTTATTTGAACAATTTACCTCTCTAGGGTTTGTTGCATTTCTAACAATAAGGATTTTTTTTGGTGTAACTTGTATAAAAAATATTAATAATTAATATGATCATAGTACAACAAATCTTCAATTATCATAGTACCATGTCTCATTCCAAGTAAACATTGATTGACATGAACTTGAGATGAAATTAAAGGCACCTAAAATCAGTCATTATTTGCCACAAACACATTCCACTTTAGCCATATTTAATACATGTGACCCATCATGATAGTTTTTACTTTTTTTAAAGTGATATTGATTAGAAATCCATAAGCAAGGATGGATCATCTTTATGCTATATTTTCCACAATTAGTCATTTTTTTTTTTTAAATATCATATTAATTATTGTTAATACTTTTTTTTTTTCAAAAAAAAAATATTATTGTTAATACACTTTGTGTGGTACATATAGCAAAGTACTGTTGTGGAATGTTGTCTTTGGTTAGGAGAAAATATATTATATTGTACTTGTTCAGTGTACTGAGTATATCGTAATCGTTCGTGTTGTACATACATCTGCACACTTACAATACAAATGATTGTAATGTGTCCAGTGCATCGAAGAATACCTACCCTTTGATTAGGAGGTAATGAACCACTGCCCATTAGGCAATGAACCACTGCCTTTGTTTCCAAAATAAATTTTAAAAAAGTTTGCCTTTAAGAAAACTTTTGAAGCACTAAACAAACCACAATTATTGGTCAATCCACTTTTAGTGATGAACAAGACTTCCTGCCATGGGTAGGTCATCCTGATGAGTGATGGCTAATGTAGTTCAATCATAAATATATAAATAATTTGTAATTACAAAATAAGAAGGTAATAATAAGGATAATAATTTTTTTAGAATAAATTCAGTCACTCTTTCTAATTTTTTTATTTATTACTTTTTAAATTTTGTAATTATCGAATTATTTGTACATTGTGATCGGATGTTAGTAGGGATAACTTACTCTCTAATTTCTTTATTTATTACTTTTCTAATTGTGTAATTAAAGACTATTTGTATATTGTAATTGGACTACTTACTCCACCTGTAATAGAGAAGTGTTGTTCTTTAGTGATTATGTGGCACATGATGTTAATAATTTCATCATTTTGAAAAAATAAAATTAAAAAAATGCTTATGTAGATTAAGCCTTACCAAGCGTGAAATAATTGTGAGTTGCAAGCTTCACTTGTTAAAATATTATTTTTATTATTATAACTATATTGATAATAAAGTAACAAAGTTTGATTTTAAATGCATTGATCACGTGGTAAAGAAAAAAAAACATAGAACCATTGTATTTGACAACTAACTTTTAAAAGCAAAAGGAATTTTAATTCCTAAACTTAACATAAAAAAGAAGAAGATAATAATAAGTTTGACTCTAAAAGTTAAGAGTCTAAAATAATGAATTATAAAAAGGTAAGAGTGACTTTTAACTTGTAAGACCTACTAAAAGGATTAATTTATATATATTTTAAGAAAGAAATTCACACTTCACTTTTATTTACTTATAATTTACTTATTTTTATTTAAAAATAAAATGACATAATTACCCACAACTACACATTAAAACTTGAGAGTTATTTCAAATATTCTTATACACTCAATTTTATAAGTAATTTAGTCATTGAATAGCAAGTTTTGCAGAATGTATATATGATCTCCTCCCTATGTAACGTATGATTTCATTTGTCTCCCTCAAGAAAAGTATATACTTATCCAATTAAATTGCCCCAACACTCCTTAACTATTAAGTTATTGTAACATCCAACCCTCAACTACAATTGAAGTCTCATAATGTTGCACTAAACCAAACACATCTAATTTAACCATTAAAATATGTTAATGACAAAAATATCCATGTTATACTTTTTAGTTTTTTACCCTTATTTATCAAACATTTATTTGATAAAAAAGGGTAAATAAGGGTAAAATAAGTATAATTATAGATACATTATACATTGACCAGATATGATGTTTGGACAAATTACACATAATATATGATGTGACGTTAATAAAAAGATTAATATGTCCTAAATTTTCATAAATATTACACCTTTTTTTTTTTTTTTTTTTTTTTTAAGTATTAACATATTTAACTTATAATTAAATTAAGAAAGCAAACAAATTAAAAAATGAGCAGATGATATATATACATATTTGTGTAAATTACCCAATGAAAGAGAAGATGAACATTAAATTGCGTTTCTCTCTAATTTTCTTTTCTCTACTTTTATTATATATATATATATATATATATATATATATATATATATATATATATATATATATTATCTTTTGCATTCTCGACTTTATAATTATGATAAATATGAAGTTGATTATTTATTTATCAAATTATTTACACATGTAGATTATTGAGAAAATTAGGATTATGTATTTATCTAATTATTTACACATAGAAATTGGTTCACAAAATTAGGGTTCTTATTAAAGAGAAAGAGTTAATTCTGAAGACGTCCCCTCTAAAGAATTATTTTAGGGTTCAAATTTTACCATAAATATTTTTTTCCTATTTTTCTCTCATCCTACCATATGTTTCTGGACAAAATCAATTTCAGAATACACAATGTTACGTTACCATATTATTCCACACAAAATTGCCAAAACATCTGCCATGTAATTCAAGTTATTTTTGTTATACAATAATTGTGAAACATGAAGGATTTAACTTCTTGTTGTTTTTTTTTTACAACATTTAACTTGTTGTTTGATAAAATTGAAAAATAAGTATTCAAAATTTTAAATACTAATACTGAAATTTTTAAGTGATAATTAAAAAATAAATATTTTTAAAAATCTTATTAAATTTTAAGAGTTTTTGTCACTTAAATTTTTTTATCTTATTTTAAATGACGCTTACTATTTTAAATAATATTTATATTGGGTTATCAAACACAATTGAAAGCATTTAATTTGTTTAGAAATAAATACTGAATTACGTTTTCAAACAGCACCCACACTTATTAATCCGCCGAAAATAAATTTTCACTTTTCCAATCTATCAGTGAATACCGTCTTCAATTAAAAGAAGAAAAAGGGCAAAATAGTCAAATTGCACGGAGTAGTCAGAGTCCAAGTAACATAGAGCCGTTGTGTAAGTGATGACGTGTCTAGCTTTGTAGATAAACAAATTAGAGTACACGTACTTAAATCACACACAATAAACGCAAAACCAAACTCATAGAAAAGCTTTTCCTTTCAACAGACACAAACACTGTAAGTTTAGAGAGAGAAAGAAAGAGAGAGAGAGAGAGAGACGTCGCGTCCTTTCCCTTCTGTCTTAAATCACTTCCTCCCCGCAGCCCTCCTCCTCCTCTCTCTCTCCTCTTTTTCTCTCTCTACATATCTATATATGCATATATTTTCCTTCTTTCTTTAATCACTTCCCTCCTCGGCCCCTTTCTCTCTCCTCTCTCTATATCCTTATATTTACACAAGCAAACAGATATATACTTGTAATTAACATCGTCTTTGATATAATCGGAGTTCGAGCGATCGGAATGGAGTCGCCGGAGACGGAGAGGATGACCGGAATCGCGATGGATTTTCCGGCGAGTGACTGCACGCCGTCGTCTTCGCCGAGGACGATGCCTCGGAGGCTTCGTAGGAGGCTTTTAGAGAGCAAGTCGTCACCGTCTACTGTTGAAGAAATCGAAGCCAAGCTTAGAGACGCCGATCTTCGTAGACAGGTCTCTAACCTTTTTCTCTAAATTCTTGTAAATTATAGTAGTTTGTAATTTGATTCTGTGAAAATTTTCTTGCTTTGTACTTTTCTGTGTAATTTTCTGGCCTATGTTTGGTCCGTGAGAAAGTTGAGAAACTGAAAGTCGTCGAGACTAGAAAATCTTTTAAATATCGAGTCTTTTGTTAGTTGGACTTATTGAATTTAGCTGCGCAGTTTGTAATTTGATTATTGAGAATTTCTTGCCCCGTGTATAATTTTTCTGGCCTCTGTTTGGTCAGTGAGAAAGTTGAGGAAAGGAAAGTAAAGACGAGAAAACCTTTAGAATATTGGGTCTTTTGTTAATAGGACTTGTTTGGTCAGTGAGAAAGTCTTTTGTAACAGTTGTGTTTGGTATTTAGGTTCGGTTTAATAGAGGTTTCTAAACCACGAAGACTATATTATTATCCATCTCTTTTGTTTCTTTTCTTTTTCAATATACTTGCCAATAACGAAAGGAATTGTTGGTTCTTATTCTTTTGGATACTTTTTTCTTCAATTTCTTTGAATCTCTTTACCTTTGTGTTGAAGGTTTTTCTTAAGTTAGGTGGGGTAGGTGCTTTTCTTGTTTGAATTTTGTTCTATACTTCTCTTTGGTAGTCTTTTTTCACATTGGACTCTCTCTCTCTCCATCTATTGTTAATTTTATTTACCGTCCAGTAGTTCTCTTCTCAAAGCCGTTTCTTTTTTCATTCTCTCTTTCTATCGTTGAATTTATTTAGAAGTTTCTTTTTAAAAATTGTAACTTTCCTACATGGTTCTTTTGGGAGGTTTTAGTTTGGAAGTATAAATCGTTTTTGAGAATCATTTTTTGCATTTCCTCTAGAGTTTACTCTATTATCTTTTTATGTTATAAATTTTGATTGTTTCTGTGTGTGTCTCTCTTTCCTTGTTTAATTTCCTTCTTGTGGTGGTTTATTTTTAATCAATTGCAGTATACATCTTTTGGCAAATTAGGTTGAATTGGGTACCAAAATTGTTTGTGGATACCATTGCAGATTTTCCTTTAGTAAATAGTTCAATATTTGTATTGTATGCATCGTTCTTTTGTTGAGTAGTTGTGGATTTTTAGATGAACCTGCTTGAGAGAATTCTCTCTCTCTGTGTTTTACTTAATTCAATTTAACGTCTTTGTTGTTGAATGCAGAAATTCTATGAGAATTTGTCAAGCAAGGCTTGCCGGAAGCCGAGAAGCCCCTCACATTCTTCCTCTCATGAAGAAGACCTTGGTGAGAGGCTTGCTGCAAAGCTCCAAGCTGCCGAGCAAAAAAGGTGAAAGTCTCTCTCTCTCTCTCTCTCTCTCTCTAAAGATTTAGTGGGCCTTATAGAGAATAGAAGTTTCTATTCATTTTATTTAAGTTATCTAAGATGTGTATAAAGATACAAGTAATAGAGTTCATACTATATTGGGAAAATTAATGATTAAAAGTAGGATCACGTAGTTTTCGGGATGCGTTTCCCTTTTGTTCTAAAACATCTTCACTTAAAAAAGAAAAGAAAAGAAAGTAGGAGCATACTAAGGATCAACGCTAGTCTCTTTGTTGATGACATAGTTCTCTTAAACACTTAAACAAACCCTAGTAATAAAAACGAAAGCCCTGGTGATGATTAATCTATAAGATGTGAAGTATAAGACTCAACGTTATTTTATAAGATGTAAAATATAAGAAGAAAAGGGTTCATGGCTCATGAGTCATAAATCATCGTTCTTTATTTATAAATGATTACATGGCTTGAAAAAATTCAATTTACATATGAAAAAATTATTTTAAAATACTCAATAGGAGAAAATTTTAAGAACACTTGTAGAGTTTGTATAGGAAGAGAGAGGGACAAGTTGATTGGTTAGAACTTAGAAGCAGTGTATTTGAATATCCTTAAAGGTCGGTTTCTCAAGCATGAAGGTATATTACTTCCTTAATGTTCTTGTATATGCACTAAACTCTTGCATCCTTTGTAATGTGATTTCTAATATTGGCTTCTGTAGAATTGCTGCAATATTGTATGTGTTACATCAGTGTTAAAGTTCCTTTTGACCTATTGTCTGTTTGTCTAGCATTGATGTATTTTTTAGATAGAAAATGCTGTAAAAAAACATAGCATGGTTCTGGTACCTGCTTATGCTTGACAAGACAAAGGTTAATTGAAGAGCACCGTTTCCACTTACTAAAATGTCATTGTAAATGAAACTAGCATGGATCCTGCATATTGTAAGGTTCATATTCTCTATGATGACTTACTGTTTTTACGCATTAATTGGCCAAACTTATAGGTTGAACACTCTGGCAAAGGCTCAAATGCGCCTAGCTAAGTTGGATGAACTGCGGCAAGCAGCAAAAACTGGGGTAGAAATGCGCTTTAAGAAGGAACGTGCAGAGTTAGGTTCAAAAGTCGAATCACGGGTTCAGCAGGCAGAGGCAAATAGAATGCTTATGTTGAAGGCTCGCAGGCTACGGAGGGCCTCACTGAAGGAGAGGACATCTCAGTCACTATTACGAAGGATGGCCAGAGAGAGCAAATATAAGGAGTGTGTGCGAGCTGCAATTTACCAAAAACGGGCAGCTGCTGAGAAGAAGCGATTAGGTTTGCTTGAAGAAGAGAAGAAGAGGGCACATGCTAGGGTCTTGCAAGTGCAAAAGGTAGCGAAGTCTGTCTCTCACCAACGCGAGATTGAGAGGAGGAGAATGAAGGACAAATTGGAAGACAGACTGCAAAAGGTATGCTCATGATTTGAAGTTAAAATAACATATTTCACCAAATTTTATTGTCATTCTGCAAGTGGCTCTTTCCTGATTGTTGCATATTCTTTTGGCTCCTGGGATTTGATAACAATTAGGCAAGGAGACAGAGAGCAGAGTATTTAAGGCAGAGAGGAAGGCTGCACAATTCTGTTCGTCTTAACAGGAATAAGATGCACAAGCAGGCTGACCTTCTTTCCAGAAAATTAGCAAGGTATCTAAAGCAATTGTTTATTTTTATTTTTTATCTTTCATAAGTGATAAATTTCACATCTTTGAGAGCTTTTGAATTCATTCTATTATTTTATTACACTTGACTATTATTGTGAAGGCATTTTCACCTGGACCAAGCTATATAGAACTCTTTCTTGCGGCTAGCTTGATACAATCACTTTTAACTTTTTTAACTTGTGGAGTGTTTTAATAATTACAACTATTTTCTTGTTGGAGTTAAAAATTGTATGTACTTTTGGGGTGGGGATTTTTTTTGTATTTTTTCCTGGTGTGACTGGAATGTTTATATAGTAATAATGCTGTCAAATTAAACAAAATTTGAAATTAGCTACTTTTGGGGGCTTTACAATATATGTATATATATATTTAAAGCTATGTTTTGTTTTTATGTTATTATTTAGTATTTAAAATATCAAAACCATAGAAATTCTCAAACACATGTATCTAAAGTTTTGGGTAGATGTGTGGAACTTGATTTTTTTTTTTTTTTTCCTTTTTTGTACTCTCTCTCTCTGTCTCTCTGTCTCTCTTGGGGTCTGTGTGCAAGATAAAGCTCCTATAGCTTTAATCTTTAATTACTGTGTGTGTAGGTGCTGGAGGCGTTTCCTTAGACATAGAAGAACTACCTTAGATTTAACAAAAGCTTATGATGCTTTGAATATTAATGAGAAATACGTGAAGTCAACTCCTTTTGAGCAATTTGCACTTCTGATAGAATCGACCACTACCCTTCAGACTGTGAAAGCTTTACTTGACCGACTTGAGAGCCGCTATAAATTATCACGGGCTGTTGCTGCTACCAGTGGTCATTCCAGTTGGGATGACATTAGTCACCTTCTCAAGCGAGTTGCTTCCCCAAATAGGAGATGTCCACCCAGGAGATCCCCTAGGAGCAGAGATGCAAAGAAACCAGCATCCATTGGAGAAGCAACCAAAAATCTGGTTAAATTACCAAGGTACCAAGTCAGGGTTGTGCTCTGTGCTTATATGATATTAGGTCATCCAGATGCAGTTTTCAGTGGTCAAGGAGAGCGCGAGATTGCTCTTGCCAAGTCTGCTGAAAATTTTGTTCGAGAATTTGAGTTCCTGATAAAGATAATATTAGACGGGCCCATACAGAGTTCTGGTGAAGAGTATGACCCAGCATTGGCAAAACGTTGGACTTTTAGATCTCAGCTTGCAGCTTTTGATGCAACATGGTGCTCGTATTTGAATAGTTTTGTGATGTGGAAGGTTAAGGATGCCGAATCATTAGAGGAGGATTTGGTGAGAGCCGCTTGCCAGCTTGAACTCTCTATGATTCAAAAATGCAAGCTGACCCCAGAAGGAGAGAGTGGTGGTGCTCTCACTCATGATATGAAGGCTATTCAGAAACAGGTCTTGCTCTTAGCCTTTATTCTTTTTAAGGAAAATCATTACAAATGAATGACACCAAGTTTTCTTCACTGAGGAAATAATTTCATCTTTGTAAGGCTCTTACAGCTGGATCCTTTTTTGGTGCTTAAAACGGCATCTTGACAATTTTCATTTCCAAATCCAAAAATCTCGTAAGATTTTTGCAGTTTGCACCATTTGGTTTGCCATCAAGCGGCATTCTGAATTTTCTCATTTAAAGGAAGGATTTGCTATGAGTTAAATTACTCTTATGTTACAGAGGGTAATGTTTCTTCTTTCCTATTTATGGTTAATGGTCAATACTGAAACTTCTGTTGATGCAGGTTATGGAAGATCAGAAACTCTTAAGAGAGAAAGTGCAACATCTGAGTGGAGATGCTGGGATTGAACGTATGGAATATGCTCTTTCTGATACACGAAACAAATACTTTCAAGCAAGGGAGAATGGAAGTCCAGCAGGGTCTCCTATCAAACACATTGTATCTCAAACCCTGTCTAATTCCTCAGCTCAGCCTTCTTCTGTTGGCAGCTCAGATGGAACAAGTGATGTAATTGAGGGTAATGAGAGGCCAAGCCATGTAGTTCGCTCCTTATTTAGGGATGTGGCATCTCTCCCACCAAAAGAAGTTGGTTTGTCCTCCACTCCTAGTAGTAGTTTAGAGAGTCAGTTCAATAATTCTGGTGAGAAGTTGACCATGGAAAATGAGTTGGTTGTGAATGAAATTGTTCATGAGCAGCGCCATGAGTTTGCTGATAGCTTCAATGACACTGAAGACGACCAAAATGGTATCAAGGTTAGTGCATTGTCTTAGTTTGAACGCAACAAACAACAGAAGCTATACCAAAAAGAAGAAATAGAATTTTGGCATATATTTTATATCGTAAGAGTGTCACGGCTTTCTCCTTTTTGCAGTTCTTATATAACACAATGGGTGGGAATGCAAATTTGGTAACAAGCATAGGGATAACATCTTTAAAATGGAAACCACTTTAAAGAGATTCCTACTAGATTCTGAAACGTGTCCTATATATGTATATATATGTTGACATTTATACCAAAGCATACCTTAATCCATAATTGGCCATAGAACAGTCTGACAGATAAGATCAAAATTCTTCATTTGATTTCTCACTTGTTCACTGTTTAGGCAAAGATAAGAGAGACAATGGAGAAGGCTTTCTGGGATGGCATCACAGAATCTATGAAACAGGATGAGCCCAACTATGATCGAGTTGTCGACCTAATGAGAGAAGTGAGGGATGAAATATGTGACATGGCTCCTCAGAGCTGGAAACAAGAGATTATTGATGCTATTGATCTGGACATTCTCTCTCAGGTATACACCAAATTACTGAGATTATTTTTGCTCCCAGGTTTCTAATTTATTTGTAGTGTATACTAAGTATAAATTTTTCCATAGGTGCTGAATTCGGGAAAGCTAGACATGGATTACCTTGGAAAGATTCTGGAATTTGCATTGGTCACTTTGCAGAAGTTATCCGCTCCAGCGAGTGAGGATGAACTTAAGGCTGCTCACCAGAAATTATTGGAAGAACTTGCTGAGATATGTCAGGCTACAGATGGATCAAACTATTCACATGTTATTGCGTTGCTCAAGGGTTTGCGCTTTCTCTTAGAGCAGATACAGGTAAATCTCTATGCTTGTTTTCCCTCTAGATTTTGTTTTATTTTTATTTTGTAAATCAATGTTAGCTGCTGTTTAGGAGAGATGCTTGTCTGGGTAGCCATGGTACTGATGAATAATTTTCTAGCAGTCAACATGCCATTGACACGGGGGTATACCCACAATGGGATGGTCACGGTGGAGACTATTTTTTTTCTTTTATTTTGGGGTGTTCATTTTACAGAAAATGAGTAGAAAATCAAAACTAATAAAATGTGTAGGATACTTCTAGTAAATAAGAGATAGGTAGTGGAAAATAATGTCTGCATTTAAACAGTAAAAAATATATATAAGCCAAATTCTTAAGTGGTAGGAAAAATATTACTAAATGGATGATTTAAGCTCAATATAGGACTGACTTTCCTTTATTGAAGTTTGATACACAAAACTTCATGAATGATGAAGGGAGGGACAAATGAGAAACAGCAGTAGAAATAGATGAATGAAAGGCTCAATATAAAGTTGACTGACTTAGATTTGTTTTTAAAGTTTTCTGAAAGCATATGAAAGTCAAAATTTCAGTCCTAGGAGGAATAAATATTAAAAATATATAAATAAATACTTCCTCATAATTAATTGAACAGCCAGACTGATTTTAGAAGTTAATTAAAATGCAACTGACAGTATATAAACAGATGAATATCCCATAGAAGAGCACTACGTGATCAGACCAGCAGAAAGTAAAATACCTCCCTCATAACTGCTACCATGGCTTTTAACAGTGAAAAAAGAAGGTTAATTTTAAAACTTTATTTAAAGGTTCAAAGTAACTGTATAACATCCCATGAGTTAACACTCATCACAGCATCGTCATTTATTTCTATTTCGAATTGTAATAATAGCCATTTTATTGGTAATGCCTTAGATGTCCAAGCAATTGTATTTTGTATGACATATTGGTCCTGAGGTGTGTCTTAGTTGTTGAAAACTCTTTCTATTGCCATTAGTTTTTCTTAGCTCTGTGCGCTTGTATTTAGCCTGGATTATTTTTAACGAGATACATGGGTAGTACCCGTCACGTGTTGTGCCTTTTAACTTATCTTGAATTCACTTAACTGCCAACATTACATATTTTCCATGTTCATGTTTCATGAGAAGATATCTGTAACAGTAACTGCCTGCTGTGTACAGTTAATTGCCTCCTATGGTGTATTGTTCAAACCTATGTTACACACTCTTCACTTTTGGTTGGACATGTACTTAAAAGGCATGCCCAATCATTCAATTATATTGTATTACTACTTAAAGTGAGTTAAAAGCCTAAATTGAACTCTATATTAGATAAAAACATTACATTCCTCTAGAAAATATAATAAACTAGTTAAATAAAATAAATATTTAGCAGAGTCTGTGTGTCCTGTTTAGAGATTTGACACGTCCGACGCATGGACACATACTCGTACTCGACACACGTACCCGAGTCCATGTAACACAGGTGCAAACTATTTGCAGTCTGCTGCCTTCTATCCTTATAGAAAATGATTTAAATTTAAATTAGGTTCTGCAGTGAAAAGAAGTATATTTTATGAGCCAGCCTTCACATTGTCATTTGAAATGGAAGCATGTACCTTTTCACAGAACATACATACATGTTAAATATACATGTGCATTTCTGTACAATGTGTAGCTTGTGCAGAAGAGAGTTTCAAGATATATATTTTTTATGACAGGAACTCAAGCAAGAGATCAGCAAGGCTCGAATAAGACTTATGAAACCATTTTTAAGGGGGCCTGCTGGTTTGGATTACTTGAAGAAGGCATTTTCCATCCGTTATGGACCTCCATCTGATGCCCTGATTGCTCTACCATTGACAATGCAATGGCTTTCATCTGTGTGTGAGAGCAAAGATCAGGAATGGGTTGAACACACGAATGCTCTCTCGGAGTTGACAAGGATCCAAGAAAGTTCGTCTCAAAGACTTGTTCCTTCTACCACCCTTAGAACTGGCGGAAGCATCTCAGTCAAAATCAGTGGAAACCAAGAGGCTTCATATTCTTCGGCCTCGTTCGCTACGAACACTACAGGTAAAAATTTGAACTTTTTTTTTAAACTAAGAAATCTGTACAAAATGCGGCAAAGATATGTGTATTTGTGTGTGTGTATATATATATATTTCTTAACATTATCTTGTTTTTTGGCTGTAGGTGGTTCAGATTATCAAAATCTTAAATGCAAGGGGGAAAAGGTTGATTTGATGGTGAGGCTCGGGCTGTTAAAGTTAGTAAGTGGAGTAGCTGGCCTAACAGAAGAAGCTTTACCTGAAACTCTGAAGCTCAACCCCTCTAGGCTAAGGGGTGTCCAGTCCCAAATTCAGAAGATCATTGTAATTTCTACCAGGTAGGTGAATTAGATTTCCATCTCTCTTTCCTTCTAAAACTCTCCGAGACTCTATTTTCTTGACACCGACTGATATCTGTGTAAACTGTGTAGTATTCTGGTTCTGCGGCAAACTATTCTGAGCGAGCAAATGGCAGCAAACCCTGCATATGTCGAAAGCACGGTATTGAGTTGTGAGAGAAAACTTTCTCAACTCCTGGACACCGTAGAGGATGCAGGTATTAAAGAAATTGTTGAAATACTCGGTAAACTAGCAGATGGTGATAAACCTGCCGACGCCACGAAACTTGGGACAAGGAAGAATGTGATGGCCAGTATGTTAACCAAAAGCTTACAAGCCGGGGATCCTATTTTTATCCGGGTGTCTCGTGCTGTATATTTGGCTGCAAGAGGAGTCATCCTCGAGGGGAACGGGCCATGTGGAAGAGAATTGGCGGAAAGGGTGCTCCGGCAGGTGGGAGCAGCGGTTTTAACCGATCGGCTGGCGGAAGCTGTGATGGTGTTGGGGGTAGCAGCAAATGTGTCTGTACATGTTCATTTGCCTTGGTATGCACAGCTGACTAAGAACATGTGAAGGGACAAATAGTAACAACCTTGTACATATTAATAATATTAGGTTTTGCTTATATTATGTAGTGTAATTTAAATGGCAGAGGTGCATAAATTGAATGGTGTGTACAAACATGAATAGAGGGGAGGTAGAAAATGTAAATTGTATTTGAACTGGATGAAAAGAAATAAATGCTCCTCTTCTATTCTGATTTGGCTTTCTTCATGATGATGCATTTGTGCAAGGGTGGAATAAACTGATGTCGAGCACATGGTAGTGCCGCTCGGCCTCACCTAATTTGCCGGGAAAAAAAAGAAAAAAAATGGTTAAATGGATCCCTCATATGGTTCAATCAGTATCAAAAGTTTGTCGCAGAATCAGAATACTTAACAAGTGTGTCTATATTCGAGTTCTTCCTCACCTAATTTAAGAATTTTTTTTTTTTATTTTTACTTTTTTATTATTATTATTTTTTATAGTTGTGCTTTAGTAAGTGGTAAAAAGGATCTTTGATAACGATGTTACAGTACCACTTGCTTTAGGAAAAAGTCCTATATATACACACACCAAAAAAACACTTGCGTTGCAAGAATTCAAAATAATAGTACCGGGATGTTAAATATCTCATCACAACTGAAAATTTTAAAAAAAGGAAAAAAAAAATATCATTTTTAATTATGAAATTGAATATATATATAAAATACCATTTTAAATTATGAAATTGAATATATATATATATATATATATATTAATGGAAAAAAAATACAAAATTACAAAATTATTAACACGTTCGATACGAAACTCATTTTAAATATTCAATAGCATTTTCATTACCGTACAATAGACAACCTAAATATAGGGTTTCCAATGGCTCTTTTAACCTGAATCCGGTTTAATTTACTCCCATATCTCAAATAATAGTAAAAAAAAATTATATAAAATTTAAAATCATAAAACATTTAGTGCTCAGGATTTGATTATAATTTGCTATCAATAGTGGAACAACTTCATTTTTATAATAGACTTTGATGTGTTTTCCATTTGAGTCATACAATTTATATTTTGCACGTATTCCCGTGATAGCATTTTGACAGATACTGGAACCGGCTTTCTCTAATACACCACCAAGTAGAGAGCTGAATATTTGGCCACCTCTGGCTGGTTGGATATGAGTCAGGGTGAGCATGGATGTTTTAATTTTAAAGTAGGTTGTAGAGAGATTTTACGCGGAGAGATTTTCAACCCTAGAACAACCCTCCATCTCTACTCGCTTGACATGTTCCCATGATTTCTATTTAGTCTCTCCCTACTTTCTATGAATGAAAATTATTCTGAACTTAAAGAATAGAGAAAAAAAAAAAAAATTGGTATTTTTGTTAATCCCTCTCTTCAATTCCCAAATAAATTCTTAAATTAATGTGTTATTTGGGTGAATTCGTTCTTGGGTTTTTGTTTTCTTTGATTTTTTAAATCTGGGTTTCGTCTGCCGTCTCCCCTGTTTTGGTTTTATTCTGTCAATATGTGTGTCACTGTGTGTAATCACTTGTATAAATTTCTGGTTGAATTGAGTGCTTCTTATTATGTTTTTTTTTCTCAGTTTGTTTGGACGGAAAATATTATTAATATATATTTTTTTCAAGTAAAATATTTTTTTCTTTTTACATATAAAATAACTTGTAGTAAAATTTATAAATAAATTATTTTTATTAAATTTTAATATTTTTTTCTCTCATAAATATTTTATTACAATCAAACATCAAAAAATAAAATATTATTTTCTAAAAAATATTTTACGCCAAACAAAACAAAACCATTTTTTTTTTTTTTCAGCTTATTTTTTTTGGCCCAATGAACCTTTATGTTCATCAGCAGGGCGTTCATTGTGAATCATTATGGGAGTTCTAGGTTGGTGGTCCCACATGTTGTTCCTAATCACAACAACTAGGCATCTGCTAATGACTCACTGATTATGGAGTCTCCACAGCCGTCTGATCTGAGAGCGAAAGCTGCTAAAGTAAGAAAACACATAATGATAGCGTTTAAATAAATTTTGTTATATCTTTATTATTCTTGTTATATGTTCATTGCATTCATCGTATATCTAAAATGTAAATTTGAGAACCTCTATAAAAATTTTACCTCATTCTTATTTTAGTCTCAGTGTTTTATTGTTCTTTTTTATTTTATTTTTATTTTTTGAATTTCAATTATTGGTGTAGTGTGTAAAAAAATTCAGATTGTTTGTGAAAGTTGAAATGTGCAAATGGTGCCTGATGTCAAATGTTGTGTTTTGGTTGGAGGGAGAAAAGAGACGAAAATTCCACTTCGGATATGGCCTTACTTGCCCTCATCGGTGGCGTTCAATCCAATTTAGTCAATAACGTAATTTGGCTCAAAATCACACCAAATTAATGGCATATAACCAGTGAGTTTCATCTAAGACAAAAAGTTCATTGGTTTCCCATTTTGGGGGGTAAAGGTAGGAAAGGTCATATAATCGTAAATTATAGGATATGGCAGAGGCAGTCGGTTTGGGCTCTGCGGTGGTGGAAGACGCTACAGGACTTTGGAGGTTAGCAAGTTTAAGATTTGAGGTTCGAGTCCCGTTAGATGTTCTTTGTAACTAGTCTTCACTGCCTATGTAGTGACTTATGAATCCGGATAGGGTGCCATTCTTTCAGATTTAGTTGGAAGGAAAGGAATGATAACACTTGTAATAATTGATTATATCAGAGGAGTAAATATGTACAGGCCCAGTTAATGAGCCGAAGTAACAAAAGAGGGCTTTAGCCCATTACATGAAGCCCAAACTTTTCCCAATTTGAACAACAACCTGCAGTTGCAGCCTTGCACACATGGCAAGAAACTTACCTTAATAGAAAGGATATTATTGTAAATTCAAAAAAAATTCTTAAGACATTATTGTAGAAATGACATTAGGTGTTTATGGAAAATAATTTTTGAGGAGAATTTTCCTACAAATTGTAACCATTTTAAAATAAATATCATCTAAGAAAATATTCCTATTATAAAAAAATTCTACTCTCTTTCTTTTCTTGCTATTTTTGTTTACTGTTTATGAATGTTTGATGGAACCTTGAGTTTAAAATATATATATATATAGACCACCCACACGTAAAGTATATAAATTGGTTAAATACATATTATATATTTATACATATATAAAGTTTTTCACATGAATATTTTTGTTCTCCCTTATAATATAGTGGGTATGACATTTCTTTAATTATTGGTCAGGTTCTTTACAACCGTAAATATCATATATATATATAGCACTAATATTGAAAGTAAAATCCTCCAATCGAGTCCGACATAAAGGACATTTTTGGTTCAATTTTTTTATAAGTAGTTCTAAAAAACGCAGAAAATACTAATTTGTTGTCTTTTAAAAAAACAATCTCTCTCTTTTTTTTTGGAAAACAAATTACAAAAATAGTTAACTAAACATATTTTTTGTACATTTTACCTGATTTTCACAAAATAAAATAAAATTAGAATTACAAAACAGACCCTACGATCTGGCCTAAGCTATCTCATGGGCTTATTGGACAAGGGCCTAATCCATGAGGTAAAGGTAAAAGCCTAAAGCGTTTGGGATATGTATTATTTATTTGTTTATGAGAAGGTTGCAAATAATTTGGCAAGTTTGATGTTTGTTAACCAAACCAATCCAATCCCTATTCATTTTCTTTTTCCCTCTTCTTGTTTCAGATCATTTTTTGGGATTTCCATAAAATTTAAAATTATCGTTTGGAATATATATATGTGTGTGTCAATTTAAATAATATTCTCTTTGTTGTTTATTTTCCTTGCAGAATTCTTTTCCCCTGTTATTAATAGTCCCTTGGTATTATTGGCCTAGCATTTTTCACCAAACATGCTTTGGGCCAGAATTGTGTTGCAGTAACTGGCTCAAAGCAAAACACATGTGGCAGAAGCAACCACCAAACAGGACCTTACTGTCACGAAGTTTTGGTAATTTGGTCGGGTTGTTTCTTTTGATAAAAATTTGAGTCAATGATTTTTTTTAGAGAACTCCAAAAGAGGAGGGAAGATTTGAGAAAAATCTAGGCTTTTGCAAAAATGAGTTTCTAAACATCATTGGATGAAAATTTCAAATTAAAAATGAAGAATATGTAGAAAAGGTTAACTAGTAAACAAATTATTAATTTTACTGTGAAATTAAAAAAATTAGAGAAATTTAGAAGGTGAAAGTGGGCTATAAATATCAACAGAGTTGCCCATGAAAACAATACTATCAAAATATTGTTGGGTTTATTTCCTTCTATATGGAGGAAAGCCTAAGTGGGTTTTATTAAAACTTTAAGCCCAGTTTTTTAGGGTGAATAACCCTAAGGAAGTCAGAATAAAAAGAGAGGGAGATCAGCCGTAGTTTTTTTATAAGAGAAAGAGGAAAAACGCAGTTTTTCTATATACTGCCCAGGTTTCATCAAACCTCCGATTCCGTTTCGTCCGTACTCCGATCGAGCTGAAATTTAGAGGAGAGGTTCATGACTCAATGAGTTAAAATCTGAACGGTGAAGATCGGATTTGAGCTCGGGAACAATGATTCGTGCCCGTGAACAGTAACTGGGTTTTTGGTATTTTTCTCTCTAATTCTCTTTGTTTTTTGCCAAGATTGGTGATATCTTGATGAGATGTATTGTAGCCTCTAATTGTGATTAGAGAAAACTTTTTGTACCCATTATTTGGTTGATAGAGGAGATTTCAACTGGACTAGGTCTCGTGGTTTTTCTTTCTGACACTGGGGAAGTTTTCCACGTAAAAAATTGCTTGTGTTCTTGTGGCTTGGTGTGATTGATTATTTTTCTATTATTTTCAGCACATGTAAAAGTAGAGATACACTATATTTGCTTGCATATAGGGAGAAGAGTTATTTCACTGTATTTGTTTATTGTTATCTCTCCCAACAAAGTGGTATCAAAGCTCCAGGTTGACAATTGTCAGGTTGGCAGTTTGAGTTATTGAAGCAAATACGAGTAGAATGATTAATCTCAATGGTTCAAATTATCACATATGGAAAGGAAAAATGGAGGATCTTCTTTATGTGAAAGATTATTACCTACCGGTGTTTAGTGCTGAAAAATTAGAAAATAAGTTTGATGTGGAATGGACTTTGTTACATCAATAGGTGTGTGGGTATATCAGGCAGTGGGTAGATGATAATGT